ATTTGTTTTTATACCTTGGTGATTTCTGTGATTTCTAATTTGCTATTATGTCTATTTGTCATTTATAACAGGTATTATTTGTCAATTTACATTATTATGACACTGCACTTTGTCATAAGAAATACCGGTACACATGACGTGTGACACAGTGACTAAGTAACTGTTTTATTTTCATTTCTAATTGATGTTTCTCCCAAGCCAATGTGGGCATTTCTGTACTTTAAACTTGCCTGGTATTACCAACAAAGTTTCCCATTATATATATTGAATGTGATAGAATTTTTACTGATTATGTATTTGATGGGAAATTGCCAAGAAAGGAGGACAAGAATATATTTCACATGCAAGTTTAAAGTTTGTACTGTATGGTCACTTTTCTCCCAATAAATATATATAAATAAAAATGATTTAACACTTTTGATAGGGTGACAGTCCTATTGGCTTAAAAAGTTTTCCATTTTTTGAACCAGTTAGTGTCTTTTTTGACAGATCACAGCAACATTAACACATCTGTTCAGTTGTGAATTTAATATTTTTATTGATAGTGATACCAATTTCATAAGTCTATTTATCAAAATAAATTGTAATCACAGAATACAATCAGTGTAGTAGATTATTTCATAAATGTAAGTTAAATAGTTTTACCAGATAGTATTTCGCAGTTTAATGTCAAGTCTTAGTCTAAATCTATGCCCACATGATCAGCTATATCAAGGCAGGCATAATCCTCAATGGGCAAATCTGTCAGGCATACCCATAACATGTTGTTTATATGACTGAGTTGACAACTGGCCAGACATACCTGGTAATACTTTTGAGTGTAGTATGGCCTTTGCCTGGGGATTTCATTAACAACAAGCATGGTCATTCCAGCACAGATAGAGTAGATATTATTTTAAAAAAGAAAGAAAATTTATGCCTCTTAGAATATACAGTAAAGTTGATGTAATACCTATCAGTATTGTCCTCAAGATGTGTGTGATGGTAAGAAAAAAACAGAAACTGGAGTACTTTTCTTATGAGAATTAAATAATTTTGTAGCAAGGGATTTCTGGATGGCAATTTTGCATCAAAGTTTGCCTACAAAAATAAATCTTATATTTACAGTTGTCCATAGTGGAGGCAGTGCAGGAGCTGTCCACAGAGGAATGCTTGCTGTCGGCCTGAACAAGGCTAACCTCCTGTGCTCTTCTTGTGATACTCTCAAGGAGTTCAACCTTGATGTACTGGAGTGAGTTCGCAATTGGTTACTTTTTGTTGGAAGTCCTGTTGATGAAAGGATTGATATTAATGATACTAATATGAGGAATTTGAGTATTTTTTATTTTATTTTTATTGCTAATAATGCATGAATATAATTGAGAATGTTAAAAATTCCAATATTGTTAAAGGTATTTATATTTTTGCCAATTTTCATAAAACAATGTCACCTACCAGGGCAAATTGCCGTGGGTGCTGCAATGTGGATGACGTAAATGCCACCCCAACGAAGTACCCGCGGGCCATCCTCGAGGTCTGTGGATGACGACTGGGAGCATTCCCGCAGGTTCAGGGTAAGAGTCGGATGTTTGTAATATTGGATTGGATTCTAGAAGTCATCTTGTTCCTTTTCAACAACATTTTATTGTTTCTTTTTCTTCATATCTTACTCGACTTCTCTTCATTTTCCTCTTTGCTCTCATTCTGTCATTTTTAAGTCAGTCTCCTCTTCCATTTTCTTCCTTCTTATCTAGTATCCTAGTCTCTCTCTACATTATTAACTTGGTTTTACAGTGTCAAAAAAATGCCTGTAATACATACTACTTTAGCCTTTGTCTATAATTAACATAGGCGGTCTTTATTGTGCAGGAGAGTAAGGAATTTTTTGCTTTTTATTTTCAGCATTTGTAAAGAGTGACCGGCCTGCGGCTTTCCCAAATCTTACCATTAAGTAAGTATCACATCTTGTTTTATGAGAATGTATTTGGTTTGCTTAGAAACTTCTAGGATGATTCAGACAAAGAGAAATGTTTTTTTTTTGTTTGTTTGTTTGTTTGCATAGTTTCTGTGGATCCCATTTTTCTCATCAAAAATAAAATTCAGGTGCATTTTCTCCTGTTCTCGAAATTAAAGGAGTGTTTGTTGCAGGTATGTAAGAGGTGCAGATCCCATCATTAAGTTGATGGATGAGGATGGCGATGTTATGGAAACATTGGCAATCGATAAATGGAACACCGATTCCGTGGAGGAGTTCCTTAATACCTATCTTATACTGCCAGGACAAGAGGAAGAAGCAGATGATTTTGAAGAATCTAACCTTTATAATGACTTTGTTACGTAACCATGACCTTTAATGATTTTTATCCATCGAGAATTTAAAGAAGAAAATTTGTTATAATATTTCGTACTTAGATACCCTCGGTTTTATATATTATATAGTAATTCTATTTAGTGCATTTGTTAAAAATTTGCAAAGAAATTCTTTTTTTTTCTTTCTTTTTTTCCCTTTTGTAGACTCCTTTTATAGATCAAGAATTGCCAGAACTTCCAGTATGTTAAGGTTAAGAAGTGTCTGAGAAATAGTTGTTGCTGTGTGGGGTTTCCGGAGTGTAGAGTCTCCTAGGACATGGATTAAGCGTGATGAAGGGGGAACCATAAACCGTAATTGGAGGGTTCTCGCGGATGGAGCTGTCTCTGTTCTGTGAGACTGCACTACAGCTGCCTTGCAGTAACAATAAAGTCCTTTTTGATATAAATTTGGATTTTTATTTTACCTAATTTTCTTAAAACTTTTATCTTGAACTCTTGCTTACGGTAAATTACTCCTTGCTGTAATTATACACTGATATATATAGATATTGAGTGATCATTATGGTAATTTTTTCCAAGTGCACACAGCAAGGAGAGATAATGTTATAATACTGTTAATACTTTTCAAAGGATTACTTCTGCTTGTGAATAAATTATACCTTTTTCCCTATTTGGCCATAAGCCAAGCTCCTCTTTCATATGAAGAAGCTGACAGGTACACACATTGTTTGTGGCACTATACACACTAAGTGTGTTTACTATTTCTAATCACACATGTATTTTATACTGTTAAAAATTGGATAAGTAAAGACCTGAAATTTGTTAGAGCATGAGCATTGTCAAGAGAATATTAATCATTACTATCAGGGATATCATATTTGCACGTCGTGCCCACTATGAGCTTAGTTTGTCTTTATACAATAAGAGTTTAGACACAAAAGGGTCAATTACCTCTCCTATCTATCCCACCTGTTCAGCCTTTTTCCTTTATATTTGTGGAAGAAATATGTTATTAGTACAATTAATAACGTTATAATCATAATGTCAAGAGTAATAACAGCAGCAAATAAGAGTAAAAAAAATATATATATATATCATTGGGAAACCGTTTCAGGTAAGGTCTCTTTGGCCTGCTAATTGACTCAATGGCTGAGCACTTATAGCGGATATTATATTCCTCAACAGCAGTTTAACAAAAATATTTAACAGTATATATCATATAATCTACATGCAGAAGGATGATGATCAAGTTGAAGAAAACTTGCAGTTAGTGTTTGGTTACTCAGGACAGTATACCAAGGAAATTTCTGATAAAATATCTGATACATGAAAACATTTCATTTTTTGTAATTAATATATGATACTTAGTTGTTGGTTGAGATACTTAACATCTGTTGTCTTCAAGTGGCTGCTCTTCAGTGTATATTACCTACCTTCTGCATATATATTATTAGACCTCCCTTCATGTCCAAGGGCAATCTTTCTAGTCAACTCTTCTCTCCAATAAACTGCATACTCTAAACCTATCAATTTCTTTCTGGTCAGTCCATTTCATCAGAACAGATACTGGAAGACGGTTCTTGGCCACTTGCTATATGCCACACCTGCCTTCCACACTCCTATTTCATCACTCCTTCAACCCCCTAATCCCATGCCCATTGTTGTTGTGTAGGAGCTTAGGAGGCAAAGATGGGCCCAGTGTAGGGATCACCCCCAAACTTGGTATTCCATGGTCTTTTCTCTCAACCTTTCGTTTTCCCTTTTCTTCATACCCTTCTGTCCACATCCTAAAGGTTAGAGCCATGCAGAAAGGATGAAGGGCTGGCTTTGTGTCAGTCGTGAATGGCCTTCATAATCCGTTAGCAATTCCCTTTTAGCTTTTTCACAACCATACTAATCTACAGCACTCTACAACCTTTGGCATTTAACATATTTTGTACTAATTGTTAACTCATTTTTACTTTTTTGCCACAATACTTTGTCATAAAGCAATATGACCTTTCCTTACCTGGGGCCTTTGCTCTATTACTATATTTTGTTTACACCACTAATGACCTTAGATGTTGACACGGCATAAAGTTTTCAATAAATAGATAAAACTTCTCACGTCAGGTTCTGATCTGCCCCTATGTCCCCTTATGTAATGTTCCTCTTTCAGTACCACACATTCTGTTGTCCTGTCACGCTTTACTGCAGCCCGTACCTCTGCATTCCTTACCTATCCTCCCAACTTGTCCTTCTTCCACAGACACTACATACCCTTCACTTGATCTAACACCCCCTTGCTTATTCCTATTTTCCATTCACCCTTCTTCTCCACCTTTAGCCATACTTACCTTTTTTATTACCGTCCTACTGCTATGCAATGGATGACATAGAGCACCTAATCATTAACTCAACCCCTTCTATACCCTTTATGATACTATGCCCTCTGTCCTTTAGGTTTTAATATTGAATTTTAAGGGTCAAAATTACTCTTTCGTTTTTTGTCTATTGTGCAATAATGATGAGAACTTTATACAAGATTCATTACATGTCTACATCTTTCATAAATCAATGTTTTCCAGCTATCATGCTTTCTGTTCAACAGTATGACTTATGCTCCATGAATCATGTTAACACACGCAAAAGGAAAGAATAAAACCAGACCAAACAGACTTTTTCATACTTAAACTGGAAAGTGAATGAGGTTTGATAGTGAAAAACTATGTTTCAACCCATTGTATAATTTACTCTTAAAATATTTACACTATTTACACTTGAAATCAACAGTGCAAAACTTGCTAGAATTCCATGAAATTGGAAAAGCAAGATCTAGTTGAACATTAAAAATCGTACTAATCTGTAATAAAGTCTCATAAGCGAGTATATACGTGCTAACTGCAACAAGCAACTCTTTCTGTAAGGCTAGTACTGGACTGCTGGACAGCTGATGGTGAAGAATCTCCCCCTGTTTGTTAAGCTGCTGACATTCCTCTGTAAGCCACACACATTCCTCATATTGTATTGAGCTTTTGTGGTCCTTCAGAACCTTCAATAACAATTCAGATGTGATAATACTTACATGTTTTGGCTCTTTATATAAATTCATGGTATGTGACTGAAAGAGATACGACTTGGGCTTAAGAGTACTCTCTCCGTCTCTGCTAGATATAGCAGGGCTTTGCTGTTGGTTGCTAGATATTCTCCATAATATTCTCAGAAAGGCCCAGTCTTTCCTACTGGCACTCCAAGAGGCTAAGAGTCCAAAATATTCCCTTAGAGAGAGATTTGGATGAAGTAAATTAATGGTTTCTGATGACAAATCATTAATTTCTGTGGAAACTCTTTCCAGATTCTGACTCCTGCTTTTCCTAAGAGACTCCACTATATGACAAGCAGAATCTCTGATGGTGGAATCTTCATCTTGCAAGAGCTCAACACAGGCATAGACTAGTTGTTCACAGTAGAGAGGTTGTAATTTAGGCCCACTAAATAACAATGTTCTCAGGGCAACCCTTAAAGCATCACTTGCCGCCAACCTGTAATCTTCGGTAGAGGTTGGCGCGGAATATTTACTGACTAATGATGAGAAAGCACTTAGTATCTCTGTTCTGATCTCAGTGTTTGGCCACTGACTGCAGCTTATGCATTTGAAAAGATATGACACAACCCTGAGTGTTTGAGCTGCTACTTTAACCCCATGGTATCCCTTGAGCAAGTGCAAAACGGTCTTTAAGCTATCTTTAGATGGGGTGTGGGTTACATTTCCTTGTTCTTTGATAATTGAATATAGAGTGTTTAGAACTGGACTCCACCGTACTGTGGTATGGTGTTCCAGTTTTTCCCATAAGAGCTTTTCAATATCTTTCAACCATGGGCTATTCTTATATTGTCCTACGTGTTCCTGCATATAATCAAAACAGATTTCTTCCATATCATGATCTAAAATCCAAGATATTAAACATTCTCTCATTTCATTACTTGTTACTTCTTTCATTTTCATTTTGCTGAGGAGCTGACAGTACTCTGCTGCTCCTGGTGAGCAGTATGAATTGCCACAGATTTCCCCAAATTAACATTTGTTTTCAGCAACTGGCAAATTCTCACTGCAAGGACAGTGTTAACATAACATCTGTGTTCTGAGTTAATCAAGCTTAATAATGTTAAAGTTATCTTTTCTCTTACTGTAGAATTATTTAGGATGTCTGGGTAACTCGTCAGGATATTCGTTAATGTCAGCAGACTTCCATGAGTTTGATTATTACTTATTTTACCTTGTCTCTCCAGAAGTTCAACATGGCTGTGAACTAGTTGTAACACATCCTCTGACGGAGTAAGGGCAACAACAGCCAGAGAGGCTAATCTGCGCACAGTGTGTATGGGTGATTCTAAAAGCCGTGTTGTCTCAGTTCGGTAACACTGGAGTATGTCATTTACCTCAGCATTCTGTTGTAATCCTGTGCCTGGTGACAATCTTGCTAACAAGCTGAGCACAGGTACTAAGCTAGAGGACACCTTAATAGACATACTGTCCCCAGGCTCACTGGAAATCTTACAACTGCTTCTTTTTTCCATAATCTCAGTACTCTCCTTATTTTGGAGTGTCTCTTCTTCCAAAGCTCCTGGTTCCATGAGCATCTTCAACAGGGACTGGGCCAGAGATGGGTGCCTGGCTAGGAACTCTGGTGCTGTTAGACTGTTCAGAACAGATGAATCATCTCGTACCTTCTTCTGTCCAACCATCCTTGGCACTACAGCCCCATACAGTTGTAGAGCAGCATTCCTGTAAAAGAAGAAAAGCAGGAAAGAAGACACTATATGTGTGATGAATCTGTCAGATATATCTTTTCACTATTCTTTTTTTATCATTTTAGATAAAAGAAAATATTGTTATGCTGGGATTTTGATATCCCTGGCCTCTGAACCTATGGTCCTACTACTAAGCTGGCAATTTTTTTCCCTATTACTATACATACCTCAGGGCATTTTTCTGGGAATTGGCAGCCAAAAGACAAGGCAAGATTTCCTACACCAGAAGACATGTTTCTTGTGCTAATATCAATATTTACCAAACATACTGAAAACATACTAAGAGATGCTACTATGAGGTGGGCAGGAATGGAAAGGTCAAGAAGACATGATTTCCTATATCATAAATGCAAGAATCATATCCAAACTGTGAAAAGATAAGGTTTAGATAGGTTTATCACTGGGGTGGGCAGGAGTGGGTAGGTAGGTTTGATGGGTAGTTGAAAGTCAGGTTATAGGACAAGACAAAGTACAATGTGAAATGGAGCTTCCTATATCTTGTAATGAAAATGGGAGATATATGAAAAGGGAGATATAAAATGGAGTATCACTTGACTTTTATTAAGATGGTCCTAATGGCCTTCCATGGGAATGATACCAGGCTTTCAGGATTCAAACAAAAATAATGCACCTTTGATGATGAAGAAAAAAAAAAAAAAGTGTTTGTTCCTATCTCTGCATCTAATTTTCTGATTATCATAATATCTTAGACACGAGAAGACACAAAGACCCTTACCTTAGTGCCCATGAGTGGTTGGTGAAGGCCTGCAGACAGGTACTGGTAATAGCAGGGAGGTGGAGAAGCAGATGGTGTGCTAAGGGAGCATGCAACACCAGAGACTGTAGCATGTGAAGTGCCAGAACCGGAGATGCATCTACTGTGTTCTGTTCTTCATACTGTACAAATTGTAGAAGTGAAAAAAATCTGTATAATGACATACTTCAAAAATTATGGAATAATTGGGCATCTTTAGAGCTACTCCCATATTTGTGCCATATAGCTCAACACAACATAGCCTCTGCCTTTGCAAAACAGAACTCTGTACATGAAAACTGGATGCATTTTCAGCTGGAGGAAATATGGAGTGGCATGCAATGTGCAGACATTTTTTGATTCCTTCTCAAATAATATCTGATTAAAAAGTGATGAACCAAAACTTTAAAATAACAGTTTACCTTGTCATAATATAGTGCAAAATATTACTCTTTACATGTACAGCATTAACAACACCCTGATTTATTCTGGCTTACTCAGATTTTAATCACCTTGGCAGTAGGGTAAGTGTAAAGTAAACCCATGTTCACAAAAGAGGCAGAACCCACATATGCGCCCTTCTGAGAGTACATCCCTCATTTCATGTTACCAGACAGTAATTCCTCAGATGCAGGTTTTACTCACAATAAGATACACTTATTTTGTGTTCAGATGCCAGTCAGACAAGAGTATTTTAATGTTTTGCCCACCACCCACCATGTTTATCTCACAATCTGTTAAACATAGTGGGTAATGGCACTGGCCTTTGTGTGGACATAGCTTTACTGCTGCTATGTTATCAAAGGGCATGTCTGTCAAAGGTCTTAAAGAAATATGATGGCAATGAAAAGTGAATAACATTGTTTTCCACCTCCTCCACTTGATCCCACACTTTTCTCTCTCTACATGTGCCACAGGCAACTGACATACTTGTGGCAATGCATTATCATACATAGTGAGTAAAAGTAATGATGACAAGCATTTAAAATTATGAAATTATTCTCCCACATAAATTTCTTTTTTATTTTTCTAGAATGCACAGATGATTTCTGTTAACTTACTTCAGACTGACTAATACGAATTAGCCTCAAAACAGTTGTATTAATGAGATCAACATTAGTGCGAGGTGCTGCCCCACAGGCGACCTGCATCATCATTGCAATTCCTGCCGCACGACGAGTCACTGAAGTCTGAGCTCCTGATTCTATGTGATCAAGAACTTCATTCACCTGTGGATAGAAATTAAGTGGTCTTGGTTTAAAGACAATTCTGCAACAAATAACAAATACAGCAGCTGCAACATTGTAAAATCCTGCATTCTCTTGTTTTGCAATCCATATATGTGTGAAATCAACCATGTCTGGAGAATAACAGTAATGGAATCTCTTAAAACACACCTGTTTGTATATGAGATGGCCAAGGTTGCTGTTGCTGCTGAGGAGAACAGAACAGAGCTGACCATAAGATGCTCTGGCAGCCTCCATTGCCCCTTGTGTCTGGTGCCTGTGAGGACCCTCACAACAACACCATGAAGCAATTTCTCCACAAGACTTTCACTGAGATGTCTTATCCAGTGTGTGACACTCATACTTGTTACAGCACAACAGGCCTGTAATGTGAGTGTAACAGTCTATATATATCTATCCTTAAAAATGCATATCAAATAAGTATTTGCACAGCAGCCCACTTGAGTATTTCAACATCATCTAGTATTTGAGTAACTGAAAATATGTTTTCCAATGACTTTTACCTTACTGATAATAAAATCTTATCTGATTAATTCAAATATTTCCCTTAAATTGCACATCTGAGCAATCTTTTAGAGAAAACTGACCTTCATGGTTTGCCAACAGCATGCCAGAATCAACTGATGGTTCCCAGAGATAGCATTATCTTCTATATCCACCTCTTCTTCCTCTTCTACTGTTATATCCACATTTTCTTGGTGCTGGAGGTGCTCTTCTCCGTATGGGTTCCCTTCTACACCTTTGCTCTCACATTCCTTTATGATCATTTCTATTGATTCTCCCATCTCGGCAAAGGATGGTGCAAAAGCTGCAATAAGGAGATATCATTTTCTAAATGTGACCTCTCTTCTGAATGAATGGAGAATGACCATTAATATCATATTTCCTTAGATGACAAAATTGTTACACAAGATTCCTCTGGCTTTCAATATGAGAAACTAAATCTAAGACCTTTTGCTTTAGATCTGACGAATCTATAAATTCACTTTTTCTCAGAGAAGAGTATGGGATGCTGAATAGTCAAGTCTGAGAGTGCCTATGCTCAGTTTGCTCTTGGTTACATGATACATTACTCATAATGAATGCATAATTACATGAACTGGATTAACTGCACAGAAATATGACCTGGGATTTTTGTCACATACATATGAGCCAAAAAGACAAGGTAGTATTTTGGGGATACAGAAAATATATGTGGTCCATAAATGGTTAATACACATAAAATTCATCACATAATACACATAGATCCACAGTAAAGTTAGAATAGAATGCAATAGATTATGCATATAATAAAAATCCATTCACAAGTGTTAAATACCAATCAAAAAAGGCAACATACCTGATCCATTAGGAGATGCACATGCCAGTTTGGAGAGCATGTATTCAATTATATCAATTAACAAGTCTGTTAGGTTTGTCATGAATTCCAGCACCTCGCCCTTTGACATTGTTGTAGTTAATACATCTCTGCATAAGCAATAACCTAAAGCCTGTCAAAGAAATATATTTTAGAACATGATCAGCATACTAAAAAATAATTAAATGCTTTGCATACAGAGAAGAAACATCAATGAACTTAATTGTCTGTGTCAGAGAAATGCAGATGCTTTGTTAAGCCTGATTCTGATGGAGATAACTTAAAAAATTACTTATCAATTAAAGGGACATCTGATGCTCTTACCATTAAAGATCCATGGATTGGACTCCTTTGTGAAGCTTGTAGAAGGTTGTCCTGAGCAGCTTCAAACTGTTCTTTTACCCGATAAAAAAGGAAAGTCAACAAGCTTTGAAAATCCTTAGCCTGCAAGTATAAGGGGGAAAATTCAGAATTTTTTCAAATGACTTTCAACCTTACTAACAATGAAGACAGATATAATACACATAAAACTGGTATATATCAATAATCAACAACCTTCCTAAAGGACAAGTGGGATATCAACACAATATGAACAATTTTAGCATACTTTCCACAAAACATAAAGATTAAGAATGTACTCAATTCACCATAGAACACTTAACTTCAGCATAGTGGTGATATCATGACCCCTTGCGTGACAAGCTGACGTGACAACCTTTACAAGAGTAGCTCCACTTTCGGCAGTACTTGCTTTTGGAGAATCGCACATAGACAATCCTCTCATCAGCCACAAATGAGCATCCGAATAACACAATGAATTTTCTGAATACTCCAAAATTTTGAGTGTCCATTCAGCTTCTTCTCGTATGTCATTCATTTCATCCATACATAATGTAAGTAATATTTCTTGCGTCCAGGGCAACGTCAAGTCCAAATCTTATGAACTGCTTCAAATGTTCCAATGGCATTAATGAACCCACAAGCAGTTGCATACCTTACACTTATGGAATATTTACCCGACTTTGTACTCTCATAAAATGCTAAAAGTGTTTCTCTATATAACTGTAGAGAAAGTATTCTTCTTTGGTAATTTCCTTCAGGTGTAAGGTTGTCATGGAGAAAATGTACAAGCCATATCAAAAGTTCACAGTTCACCTTCAGCACTGGCAATTTCTCAAGCAGTGCAGATCTTGAAGAAGCATCTGAATACTGCTTTATAACCGACTTCTTTAGCTCAGCATGGCAAGTGTCTCGAAGTCTTATTAAAGAGCTTTGTAGCATTTGATGATACTCTGTCTGAATGGAGCCGAGTCAATATTCATATTCCATTGAAAGAACTCTCTCAACAGTTCACTTTCTCTAGAGGAAATTGGCTGAGATCCCTTCTGAGTACAGCACAGGAAAGCAAGTGCTTCCCCCCTTACCATCTCATCTATACAACATAGAGCAGATTCGACGCAGCCCATAACAGACTCTGTTTTCATTCCATTACCTCCTCCACTTGCCTCTTGCCTTTCATTTCTCTCTAATTCTACATCAGAATTATCTTCCAAATCCAAAACACCAAGACTGCGAGCCCACTCTCAAGAAGCCATGCGAGCAAGCCAGCCTGAAGAGCAGTCCCGACACAAGGCTATCAGCTCTTGATATACACTGCCATACTGACGGAGAGTGGGTGGAAGCCACAGAGTGAGAATGTGTTGTTGAATCATTCTGTAAGTATAAGATTTAAATAGATAATACAGCAGGTGATTATCTTATATACAGGAAGAGCTAGTTGATGAAATTTGCAGCCACTCTAATAATATCAGGGTAGAATTCAACCTAGTAACACTGCAGTACAACTGTGTTTAAAAATGACTAATTTTTAAACAAAATTTAATTAATTTCTTGGCAAATTTCTCATTCATATTTTGAACCAAACAATTATGAGCTAATCAACCCATAGGTGATAGGTGATGGTTTAGTTTTATTAATTTTGTTTACACATAGATGGCTTCAAAAATACTTAATCACCAAGTAGTCAGTTACTAATCTTACCAATTTCACCAGTTTACCCCATTCCTTCACATTTTGAGGAAAAAAAAAAAAAAAAAAAAAAAAAAAAAAAAAAAAAAGTTTCTACCACATATACACTATTGTTACATTGTAACTGTAATACTAATAAAAATAACAGCATATCTTTCAAAATATTCTATGAATGATGTAATCAAATGAGGTCAAGTAAACCAAGTAATTGAGTCCATTTTGGTGACTAAGCTTTGTGGAGCTGCTGGGAGTGCATGTGTACACGCATTCCTCGTACCAAAGGGTTAAATGTATCTCATGAGTAACAAGCTGAAATACTAAGAAAAGAAGGCATGTGTATGTATATTTTTATCTTGCTTGGTATTTTCATATAAATATTGATGTGAAGTAAAACAATTGAAGTTTGATTTACATAATTTTTAAAGATACTTCATGATACTCAAAAATAAAAACATTATATTCTGATATGACAAACACTAACTTTACATTTAAAAAAATCAAATGGGACCTATAAACACCTCCCTATGGTTATAATGCCCATACAATATTTGTGTCCAAAAATTCAACTAAAGGGGTAAATATTTGCACTTACTGTTTTCCTTTTGTTCATTCAATAGTTGGGTTTATATTTCTATTCTTGAATGCACTAAATAGTTACGAGATAACATCCTTCCCATTTCTTTTTAGCCAACAGCACTAAGACATAAATCTATTCATTCATTGTCATCAGAGAACATTTCATTTCTGAACAAGGAAAATATGCATGAAATATCAAACCAAGTCTTGGACGCAGATTACCTTTCTTGGCTGTGTAAACCATCACAAATGATATGGAGGAAATGCTGATGCCAGCATTGACAGATAACTGACTAAGCACTATTTTGTACACATTAGGCCAGCTGAGGCCAGATGGTTCACCTTAAGAGACTCTGTCAACCATTTGCTAATACCGGATGCTGCTGTAGAGCCTGAAGGGAAAAAAATCCTTTTATCATCTATAAAGTATGAAAATCATGGATCATTGTTGTAACATTAATTAGCAGTATATGCTAAGGACCTGACTCATCCATTCACATAATAAATGATGGGCTTATAAGCTAGAACATCTCATAGAAAAATAGAATCATACCAAATTACCATATATTGAACCTTAAGAAATATGATCACTTTATAAAACATCAGTCAGTTTCATTTAGGAGAAAGTTACTTTCACTCATACCGAGGACCCCTGTCACAATCAAACCTACCTCATTTGCCCCTACAAAAGAAATGGCCAGGCCTAGAGGTGGGGTAAGTGCTCTTCGATGTCCATGCAGCAGAAGTGACGAGAGCATCTAGCATGTTGCTGGCTAGTATTTTGGCTTGACCTGGCTGTCTGTCATCATGCAGCTCTAATAACTCTGACATACATGTGTATACAACATCACTCACACCCTGCAAAAATATCAATGATAATATACGAAGTTGAATAAGTTTTTGTCACTATGATACGGATGACAATTGAAGAATTAACAATGGATGAACAAAAGGACATCTGATAAAGTGTTTAACAGTTATTATATCCATAATTTTCAAATGGGCAATTCTGTATACATACAGTTACTTGCCTATATTCTGACAACAGTAGCCTATATCTCCCCCCCCCCCCAAGAGACAGTCCCTTTAGATCCAGAAGATAATGAAGATAATAAAAAATACATACAGAAAATGTTTAAGCATTCAAACACTGATCATAATCAAAATAAACCAAAATATTTAGCTTATTAACCATCACTTTCACTCACCTTTAGCTGGATTTTCCCAATTAGAATTCAAAAGATGGAATATAGTATTGCTATCATTAGCCTGGAGCGTGAATATTGACCAGGACGCCGGATGCTGCTGCTTGAGGCTACATCCTGTTTTTTCTTCCTTATCACATTCTACTTCCTTTAACAAGTTACCGTACTTCCTCACACACACAAGCCACATGTGAAGCACCTGTGGATTTAGAATTTATAATCTATCTCCTGTTTGTACTGCATCTATTGAGACTGCAATAAATAAGTCCCACACATACTGTAATTGTACTGATTGCCTCTATGTCCCCCACCCACCCCTCAAATAGATTAATCTAGCTTCATGTTGTGTTTTTTATTTATTTGTCAATTCTTCTCTGTCTCTAATTACACTATCTCAACATTAAGTATGAGGATTTAGGATATTGCTATCAGAAATCTCGTTTAGTTAAACCATGTCAAATTTTAGTTATTAAAAAGTGGAAGCATTGTAAATTTTGTCACATTTTCCCATAAAACTAATTTTACTGTCTTTCAGTTAGACTATACAGAAAAGTAATGGAGCATTATATGCACATCCAAGAGGGCCCTAAGTGACGTACTTCTGCTGAAAACATCAATGGTATTAATACTGTATACTGATTGCTAAGTACATAAACACTGATTTTTCATCATTCTCATTCATGTCTTAGTATAAACATTGTGGTACGTACCTTACCTAAACAACACCAATGTCAAAACCTACCTGAAATGCCTGAAACGTATAGCTGGCTGCAGATTTACACATCTTCATGATCACTGGATGCACTTCATAGAGAAATGGAGTGTTCATTTCACTGTCACTTCCTCTACCCCTGGATGAATATAACCAAGCAGCATTTGAATTGAATAGTCCATAAAACATCAAAACAATAGGGAGAGATGGTGTTATCCCTCTACAGAATTCTTCCAATTCCTCTATTTCAATATCAGGAAGAGACCATTCACTGTCTTCAGATTTTCCTTTCAGAGTCTGTGCTTGGCTTATGGCACATATCAGCTTTAAGAAATTCAATTCCACATCCCTCGTACAAAGCAGAGCTGAGGTAATGCACAATGAAGTCGATACAATCAAGCTGCAGTCAGATGGTAACTTATTGCTGACAACCGCTCTTAGAAGTGACACACAAACGGCTTTCAGCTGGTGTTGTAATGCAAGGTCCTGGACTATTTCAGTTTCCAGAGGGAGAACATACTGAACAATGCCATATACTGCCTGGGGAAAGATAGTGGGGGAAAATCAATGAAAAAATATGCATAATCAAGAAAATAACAACAGTAAAATAAAAAGCTTCACATACAAATAACTTTTATTCTTTTATATAAATATATAACAAGCAATATACAATTCTGCAAGGAGAAGCTGACATAAACTTACATTTCCAGTTAGTTATTTGAAATGTCTGGAGTATAGGACCTTTATTCCCATTCACAGAACAGAACTCTTAATATAAGTACCTTTACAGCAATGTGAAATTCTGACTGTTTTCTTGAGTCTGCTACATGTAGGGAATCAATCTTGATACAGCAATACTTTAAGGACTTCTTCTACACATGGAGACAAACCTCTCTTGAGAATGTGGTTTCCGTCTGTTAGCAAAGTTGCTAAATAACGAAAGAAAATCAGCAATTAGATGTCATCAATGAAAACCTCCTACACAATAATAATCACTATTTGCTACACCACACACTCACCACACACACACACACACACCACACACACACACACACACACACCCACACACACACACACACACACACACACACACACACACACCCACACACACACACACACACACAAAATGATAGAAATGTAATTAGATATGAACCATTATAAACTCTGAGACAAATATAACAAGGGGACATATTGAGAATAAAACACTTACCAGTAACAAGTGCTTTAACCGGATCATCTTAACAACTTTCTAAAGTTGGAATTGATCTCCTCTACCAGCAGTTCCTGATCAGAGTCCTTTAGCTTCTCCAAATCCTTGAAAAATATTACATTGTGATAAAAAATACTGTATACATAACATATATATAAATAAATAATAAAATAAATATATATATATATATATATATATATATATTATATATATATATATATATAATATATATATATATATATATCACCAATCTTGATCAAACAAACAAACAGTCTTTGGAAATATTATCAATACCAAGTAGCAAACAGATTAACATAATATTAAATGTTAAATATTACATAGCTCTATGGAAAAAAAATGAGGAATTGCAAATTCTATAAAGCAATTATATGTATAACACCTATTTTTGGGTATAATTCATCATAATTTTCTTAGACTGTAAAAATGTGTCATACACTCATTTACATATGCATTTATGTGAATACCTCAACCAAGTATGACTCAACCACACTAACCTTACTGATTCTTCTAACTATCTTCTGATTCACATCTTCACCAAAAAGTTTTGGTACTGCTTCTTGTAGAATGGTGCCCATTGTTCATATATCAATATTCTGCACTCTCATTTATTGCACTTTAATTCTGCTGGTAGTAATAAGTAGTTACCAAATAACACAAATCCAAGAGAAGCTGTATGAGAAGGAAAAAGCAAAACGAGGAAACATATGATTTGGAGAGCATCTTAATTTTTGTCATACACACAGATCAATAAGCAGTCAATAAATAAGTGTATATCATTGTTGAATAAATTTGTTTGAAGAGAGGAAATGGCAGTTTTCAAAACTAGTTTGATACTGTAAGTGAGAGGAGGGAGAGTAATATATCTTCTATGACATGAAAGAAATATCAGGATACAAGACAAATAAGCCATAAGGTTGCAGAGATAAAGGGAAAACAGGCAAAGAAGGGCTATCATGTGGGAATGCAAGGAGGGGTAACTAAAAACAAGGCAAAAAAAAACCTTGTATATGTCATCTCCTTTCAGCAACCCCCTTTTTGTTCCATCTGTTGCAGTTTGTTTCATTATTTGCATTCTTAAATACCCCTCTCTTCTACATACCTTCTGGCTTGATGATAATATCAATTAGATTTCAAGACTTATATCATTTCGAATGAATTTGCTACATTAATCACCTTAGTGAATATATTGGCATCATATGACAAATATCTGCCATATAGTACTTAACTAAACCATCTCACATATTTCTTTCTATAAATATTACAGCCCCAACATTTATTTCCATATACAAGATATGAGGATGACAGTTGGCATACACACATTAACTAAATTACACAGGATATTTATGAGCACCATAATCACATATAACCAATTCTTATGTTAACTACATACAGGATTCTATTGTGTATTAGAAGACAATACACAATAAAAAAGTCTTCCTGAAAACAACTATTCTTCTCACAAGTTTCTGGTAATATGAGAAAAAGTCTCCCTTTCTCTTCATCTGAAATTTATCCCTTTTTGTTGTAAACTTCCATGGCTTGACTGAAGACACATCTTTAGATCCACCAAACTCAGTGGATCCTTTACCATCATGTATATTCAGATAAGGCCTTGAGGAATGTAGTCAGAGATGTGATATAATGTCCTAATATGAGTGGCAACATTCCATAAGCAGACCACACCCCATTTACTGAATACTAAAATCAAGGACAAAAAAGGAATGTAAAAGGGGCCTTTGGATCATTTGAAGAAATTCTTCTCAGATTTAGTCATGTGAATCTAGGGGGAGAATTTTTTACATGGTCCAGAGGTGTTTTCCCTAATGTTGCATCATAATAGTAATTTACTGTGGTAAACATTGTAACGTGTTAGTTAAACTATATAAGTTATAAATATCAATAACATAGAACAATATACACTCCTGTTCCGTTTGAGAGTCATATATCTAATGCTTTTTCACCCAAATAAAGTTTCAAAAAACACGGAAGTTGCTTTCTCATTCTGATTCAGCAGAGTGAATACTTATTTTAGCCTAAAATATCCAGCTTTCTTTAACTACGCAATGGAAATACACATACACTCTATCATTAGAAGGTATGGTCATGCTTACAATCTCAAATTTAAACAGCGACCTACAATTCCTATTAACTATTCATCAAAACAGAATCTAAAGTCATTTTTGACTTACGGGAGAACACGTCACTCAAAAAGCTGTTCATTAGTGATACATCTCAACCATAACATATCCAGATAAATATAAACACAGCTATAATCTTACTGCTATATAATTACCTATCTAAACCTCTCTGTCCATGAAAACATTGGCCATATTTGTATTTTTTCCGCAAAACAATCATCCTGAAGTTCCACATCAAACGCACATGTTCTTGTTATTGTTTACGTCGCTTATTACACAAGAATTGGGGAACAAGTAAAGACGTTTTTGGCCTTTTCATTTTCTCATTAAATATTCTTAGCGTTTTCCTCTCAACACAAGGACGGATTTGATTATGGTTCAAAGGGAGAGGTTCATAAGGAGAAAAAAGCTTCCGTAGTTTTTTAGAAGGGCAAAAAACTGTACCATGGAGTCCCCTAAAATCAATATTTCAAACTTTTTTTTTCTTTTTTTTTCATGTATCGTTAAAAAATGGGACCATAAGACTATTCCCGTATTGTTATTGATTGTAACTAAGGTTGTGTTTGTAAGTATTATTTTTTTGTAGCTAGGGTAACAGTCCTGAGGGTACAGCAAGAGAAGATCCTCTCGAACAAAGGAAGCTGTATAAAAATACTAAAGGAATGAGGCAAGAAAAAAAAGCCGAAAATGGGAAATACGGCGAATTCCATCTCTTTAAAAAACATGTATCGCGAACTTTCCTTGCAACTCCATCTATAATGGGAGGGAAAAATTGATGATTCAAAGAGAGGGTTGCAAATACACTCTCGTCTGGATCGTGTTCATGGCACGTTCTGTGAAGTTAAACCGCTGCCGTCGATTGGAGCCATTTTTAAAGCCTTTTGAAGCCCAGGCAATGTATGTATTCAGTCTATACAACTTTACATCGCATTTGTACGAAATAGACATAACCAGACCACGAGATTGGACAGGAAATCAATGAATGAAGTGAACGCCAAACAATTAGACAGCAATTTTATGAAGTCTGCAATATTTTTCATTCATCTTCGCTATTTCAACAATGCCAGAAATGCAACAGGGCTTGGCTTGGTAAACTCTGTGAACGAGGATGATAATTCAGACTTTTTGAATGATTGTTCGATATTCTTTTCCAAGTTCCAAGTATATATATATATATATATATATATATATATATATATATAATAGATAGATAGATAGATAGATAGATAGATAGATAGATAGATAGATAGATAGATAGATAGATAGATAGATAGATAGATAGATAGATAGATAGATATAGATAGATAGATAGATAGATAGATAGATAGATATAGATATAGATATATGTGTGTGTGTGTGTGTGTGTGTGTGTGTGTGTGTGTGTGTGTGTGTGTGTGTGTGTGTGTGTGTTGAGTGTATGTGTGTGTGTGTGTGTGTGTGTGTGTGTGTGTATGTGTGTGTGTGTGTGTGTGTGTGTGTGTGTGTGTGTATGTGTGTGTGTGTATGTGTGTGTGTAGAAACAGAGAGAAAGAAAGAGGAAGATTTTTTTTCTTTATCATTTTTATATACATTTTTATATAGACGAGTAGTACCATTTTATATTTGGTGATTTTTAGAGTGACTGAATTCCGAAACGGTATAGTGTCGGTATTGTGCGAGAGTGTTTCATGAA